GCTTGCAGTGAGCCAGGATCGTGCCAGACTCCATCTCAAAAAAAACAAGTGCAGCCACTGGATTTGGCAGTCAAAAGGTAACTTCTGAGAAAACCATTTCAACATACATGTGAGGATTTAAATGAAATTGTAGTGAAATAAGGAATAAATGTAAGATGAGGAAGTGAAGGCAGACAGAAATTCCCAAGAACTTCGGAAGAAAGACGGAACAAGAGCATTAACAAAAGCCAGACTTAAAGATAAAGGTATTTTTAAAAACAACAGATTTGAGGTAGAGGCAGGTAAAAATCTGGCTTAGTTGACAAATAAAATTTCAAGAAAAAACTTTGGGTTGGCGGGGCAGGGGGATCAAACTGTCTGTCCAAAGAAGTTTCTCAACTCTCTATTACACAACATTTGTGACTATAATATTGTTTGTTGTTTGTTTTGAGACTGAGTCTTGCTCTGTTACCCATGCTGGAGTGCAATGGCACGATCTCGGCTCACTGCAACCTCCGCCTCCCGGGTTCAAGCGATTCTCCTGCCTCAGCCTCCTGAGTAGCTGGGATTACAGGTGCGTGTCACCATGCCTGGCTAAGTTTTATATTTTTAGTAGAGACGGGGTTTTGCCATGTTGGCCAGGCTGTGCGACTATAATACTGATTTGCCTCTGACTCTGTACACTTAGTAGTCTTAAGTAGCACAACAGCAGTGAACTTTACAGAAAAGTGTAGATTTAACATTCAAACAACATAGATGCGTAAGTTCTAAATTTCAAAATGTACAGAATGATCCAGAGTTCTCACATGTTCACAGTGCAGTTCTTGGTAGGCAGTTCACAGTAATTAAACATACAAGTTACAAATTTTAATTTCTAGTTAACATAAATTCTACTCGCCCAGCCCATATTTTGTTCTCAGCTCATTCATATTCCCTGATTGGGTCTGAAGTCCAAGAAGAGCTGGAAGGGAAGATAACCTGAAATGCAGGATGTTTTCCCCTCCCTTCCCCGCTCTCAGCAGAGATATGACTGCTATACAACACCCATAAAGCTACGAGGAAAAGACAGCTTTGTTTTTAGGCTGTGTGTGCTTGACGTTCTAAAAAGCAATGATTTCCATCTGTAGTATGTACTGGGTTACAGAAAGAAAAGAAAAGCCAGGATAGAAGACAAAAGGACTTACAAGCTCTCCTGAGTTGTCCCCTTAATTATCATATCTGAAGTGTACTGTCAGTGCCAAACCTCAAACATGACTCTTTCATAAAACAGGCAATGCAGTCTAAAACCAGTAAAATTGTGTTTACATATAAATGTAGTTACATCAAGTAAGAGAAAGAGTAAGATCTATTCTACCACACCTAAAACCCATCATGCAGTCTAAAAGTATTTTGAAAAGAATGGCGCTTTTGTCTTCCCAATTGTTACGTCTAGTGGGACAAGAGAAGTATTTATCGTACCATTCCCAGCACCCATACCTGGTTTAGTGACCTTTTTAAGATAATCCTCAATATCTGTCTCTGTTGGCCTAAGTCAACTTTTGAGAGTTAGCTTTAAGAGTAAAAAAAAAAGATTTTCAAATTGGAGTCAATTCAAGATTTTATGGTTTCTATTGAAGACAGAAAAGAACTTTTAAAGTTGACAAGATTAAAATGTCAATTTTAAGAAAATAATTACAAAAGTAAAAAGATTGTGGTTATCAATTTTAGTATTTATTGAAAGATGGAAGACAAGGAAAATATCTCTCAAACTCCAAAAACAATCTTGCACCTTTGCTAAATGTAAAATAAATTTTGAGATATTTGCTTTACATGACAATGAACCTGTCTAAAAAACAACTGAATGCAAATTTAATCCAAACGGTGCTAATTTATTATTTACAAAAATGCTCTTATCTGCCATAAGTATTTGGGAAAAAACTGTTTTACACTCAGGAACACTAATGAAATACCTTAACGACAACTTAAAATATAAAACCTTCCCTACCCTCAATGACCACCCCCCCCCCAGAAAAGTTACAGAATGGATTAAAAATGAATACATGTGGAAACAAACATAATTATTTCCCACAAATGTACACAGAAACAGGCACATGCACACACACATATACAGTGTTGTGCAAGATAACTTAATGTTTATTTAAGGTCAACAGCCTTGGTGACAAAGAAGATAATGAATATGGCTTCAGTAAAGTTTGCAAGTAAATATCACAAATGTTAATTCTTTTGCTAGCTAACCAGCTAACCTGAGTATGGAATATGTATTATTTAGATAGCTAAAAGGTTATAAACAAAATGGAGGGGTGGGGAGGGGGAAGCACTATAGCAGATTCCACTGAGGTACCTTAGTTTTTATGTAAAGGTCTGTATACCCATTTAATAATTTACGTAACAATTCTTTATTCTATATAGTATATGACCATATAGAAACTATGTCTTACGTAGTTTATTGTTCTGGTCCAAGAAACTGGAAATAAAAGCAATATTCTTCAGATAAAGAACTGGAATGTACTAACTATAAAACCATTAATATAATGCAATATTAAAATAGAAAATTTTTAAATGTAACAAAGGTAGTCAACAAGTTCTCAGATTGTATCTGAAGAGGATTTGAAAATTATAACCCGTAAGACAAGGAACGTAAGCATTGTTGAAGGCAATAACAAGGCTATACCTGCAAATCTTGAGCCCACTGATTTATACTTTACCTTCAGAGATGTATGTTTTTTTTTTTTTTTTGAGAAGGAGTCTCATTCTGTTGCCCAGGCTGGAGGTCAGTGGCGCGATCGTGGCTCACTGCAACCTCCACCTCCCTGGTTCAAGCAATTCCCCTGCCTCAGCCTCCCGAGTAGCTGGGATTACAGGCGCACGCCACCAGGCCCAGCTAATTTTTTTGTATTTTTAGTAGAGACGGGGTTTCACCATGTTGGCCACACTGGTCTCAAACTCCTCACCTTGTGATCCGCCCGCCTCGACCTCCCAAAGTGCTGGGATTACAGGCGTGAGCCACCGTGCCCGGCCGATGTATGCATTTTAAAACAATTTAATTTTCATATTATAGATAAGTCTGACTATAGGTTATATAGGAAACTATACCTAAAAGCAACCACTATGGTTGTTATTAGATATGCCTTCCTTTAAGTTAAAAAGTTTAAGGCTCATATTTTGGAGGGATACCCTAAAGACATTTTCTCACAGTATGACCTCAATGCATCTACATATATGCTACTGGAAAATTGGAAATAAAACACATCTCTTGTTAAATATATCGTTCTTCAACTTTAAAGAGAAACAGAAAACCATTTTAATCACATTCCTTCTCATTTCTCAATACTGGTTTGTTAAGAACTTTTGTCACTCAAAAGGGTAGGTGCAAATCCATAAATTTAGCTTAAAACAGAAGATTAAATAGGTGGGGAGCACGGTAAGACAATGACATATAAAACAAAACTCTTACTATCTTGATTTATACCTTCCCTATCCCATGAAACTTCCTATGTTGCAAACACTGATTTCCTACAAACCATGAAAATTTCCTATGATATCTCCCTGTCCTTTTATTAATCTAGGGGCCAGAACTGACATCATTGCTGCAATTAACTTTTATTTGTTCTGGTAAAATGCTTCTTCCTAAATGGCTTCACCCTAACCAGAAATATGAGCAGTTTTGATGGGTACTATAGATGGAAATACCAACAGTAACCCAAAAGGCAGCACAAAGAACCCCAACTGAAAGTCATCAACCAAAGTATGCGCCCAGAATAATACCAAAAACAAACAAAATAGATCTGCAGTGAGCAAAGTTTCTTACAGCAACACATACATCAAAGACTTCTGTCTGTCTTTTAATTACAATAGTGGAAGCAGTGTCAAATAGTGAGTCTATCATTAAAGAGTCTGTTTTACTCATCGGTAGTTAGGCACTGGCAATCTGTCTCCTACCTCAATTTAATGTCTAGAACTTCTTTTGAAAAGGAAGTATTCCAACTTGTTTGCCTTGCTAGGGTAGGGAGGGGATCCTGAGAGAGATGAGGTACCACAAACTATTTTGTTAGTTACATCTCTGTACATGGCAGTTGAGTCATTGTCATTGCCCTTATTTTACAGTTTTGTATTTGCCATATTTTTCTCCCATTCTGCAAGAAAAATGTAAAAGGATTTTAATTGTTCACAATTAAGCTTTCTGTAACTAAAGATTTTATACTCAGCTATTACTTAGTAAAGGTACTTATTAGTAAGAAAATTCTCTATACTTCTTATCACTCCATACATAACCAAAAAAATCTATGGTAGGCTATGTAATCTGGCCACGTAACTTCATTAGTTAGAAGGCTTTGTTATCATTAACATACCTTGTTTCTCCTAACTTTCTAAAACTGTTTCTATTACCTACACCGCTTTCTTAATAGTTTAATATAAAAATTTTTCAATGTATTCTGGGGAGAAGGGCTAAGGAATTTTACATATTCATCTTATTCAGCAATTTAAGAAAATTATGCAAATATGATATACATATATACACTCACACACACACAGATGCACACTTTCTTAACTGAGTCTTGGTTGTTAAAAATGCCTGCACAGGCTAGGCACTGTGGCTCATGCCTGCAATCCCAGCACTTTGGGAGGCCAAGGCGGGCAGATCACAAAGTCAAGAGATCAAGACGATCCTGGCCAACATGATGAAACCCCATCTCTATTAAAAATAAAAAAATTAGCTGGGTGTGGTGGCACGTGCCTGTAGTCCCAGCTACTCGGGAGGCTGAGGCAGGAGAATCACTTGAACCTGAGAGGCAGAGATTGCAGTGAGCCAAGATTGCACTACTGCACTCCAGCCTGGTGACAGAATGAGACTCCATACCCCCCAAAAAAAAAAAAAAAAAAAAAAAAAAAAAAGCCAGCACAGCGTGGGGAATTTAAATATGTACTAGATTTGACTTATGTACATTTGCACTCCAATACCACACTAAATGGATATACCAGCAGAGAATCATATCAAACAAATGACTTAAATGAATTGTCAGTTTGTCTTTGCAGACTCAACAGAAAACATATTTATTAATATGAACCTTTATTAAGTGGCTCACATTTCAGTATAAATCACACTAAAAAGATATTTTAAAAGCTATTTACACTACAGTGCTGACACATTTAAAATGAAAAAAACAGGATATAAATAAGCTCTATGGAAAAGCTTTAAATTGTTGAAAAAGAATTCTGGCTCATATTACAAAATATATATATATTTATATATATGTTAATGTCAGCTCTATTCTAAAACCTAAAATTCCAACGTAAATGATTTTTTTTAAAGACTCCTTTATGTTTAAACCTGCAATGTTTACAGTGCATCTGGCCCTAAGTGCTTAATACTTCACAGTTATGGACAGGCACTGAGGAATGTTACAAAGCTACATAAACAATGTTTTGTAACAGATATAGGAGCAAGTCCTTGGCTTGCTTTCAGAATTCATGAATCTTTATTACATTATTAAATTTTTTTAAAAAAGGATTTTAGATGCTATATGCAAATTTAGCACAAAATGTCATCGTCTTTTTTATCTTGATTTGAATGTGCTGAACTGTGTTGCCTTATATCAACTAGACTTAGATTTCCAGGGCACAATTCTTCCTTTAAATCTTTGTTGCTATTTTCAAATTTAGAATCCACGTCAATCTTAAATTCTGTAAATTGAACATGATCCAATTTTGCTTTAACATTCTTGCCATCCATATTATTCAGTGCTCTAGTCTTTTCAGGAATATTAACATTCACAGGTTCTTCCTTGATTCTTACAGATGCAACAGGTTCATGTTTAATCTGCTGTAATTCATATTTAGAATGAAGTTTATCTGAAAAAACAGAATCCAAGGAGGCTTTGCTTACAGCACAAACCATGTTGTCAGTGTCAGGTCCAAGAACAGATGATGTGGAATCTGATGATGTGCCTGTTTCATGAGTAGCTGTATTCTGAGAAGTGTCCTCCTCTGAGTGATATAATTTGAGCCGAATGTGCCATGCTAAACTGCATACAGCTGAAACTGTCTTGAACTGATGAACAACATTCCTTGGAATAAAATAAATGTCATTATCATATAGCTGAATCCTGGCATAGCGAATGCCTTCCCTCCTCAGTTGATTCAGTTTTGCATCATCAACCCATTGGACACACTAAAAAATAATAAAACAATACAAATAAGACTCTTCATAATAAAAACTAAACCAGTAAGTGTAAGACAGTAAGTGTATTAAAAATACCTGGGACAGTGGAGGTTCATGTAAATCTAACTGCATTCGTTGAACTACTTCTAAGAAATCTTCAGCATGAAAACAAATTACATCTTTGGTTATACGGGGTTGATCAGGCCTAAAAAAGAAAATGAGATAACAAGAATCTGCCATAAATGTTTCACTCTCTTGAGCTCTTATTAAACTCAAAGCAAAAATGGTTTATGGTCAATACCATAGTACTGTCTTACAAATAAACTGGTAATTGGAAAGCCATTTCACATATTTAAAGAAAGAGCCAACACCATGACTTTCAACCTAGACAGAGATTAAAAACTGACTTCATTTTGTATAAATATTTGTCACAAGAGTTTGGAAAATTGAAATGATCTGAATTGGTAAACTGTATAAACCAAGAAAATTAAGTGTTCTATTTGAAGTATGAATGTACTTCATACATTTAAGTGCTAAAGTTGAAAATACTACATAAAAATTAGAAGTAAATGTGAGGAAAAGGGAGTATTTTCTTTCCATAGAAGATACATATAACTATACTGATGCATAAAACTCTTAAGTAACTTTATAAATTAAGAGATTTCATTAGAAAAGTACCAATATAATAAACTTGGTGTTTGCTGAGGTTACTCGTCCCTTTAAATATAATTCTAAAAAATTCTCAAATTCTTCAATTAATTAGGAATATATAAATACATTTTTACAGAGATGCTAAAAAATCGATTTTGGAATAAAATTCCAAACAACATTAAAAAAAATCATATGAAGGCAAATCATAACTAAATTTCTAAAAACCAGTGATAAAAAAGAAAATCTGAGAATCATGTAATACATTATATACAGAGAAAGAAGGATAAGAATGATCATAGACTTCTTATCAAAGGCAATGCAAGCCTGAAGAGAATGGACTACTTTTAAAGTACTAAAAGAAAAAGTCAATCTAGAATTCTATACCCACCAAAAATATCCTCCAAAAATGTGAAATAAAAACATGTTCAAATAACAAAAGCTGAGAGAATCTGTCACCGGAAAACCAGCATAACAAAGACTGCTAAAGGAATTTCTTCAGGCGGAAGGAAAATGATACTTAAATGAAAATGTAGATCTATGAAAAGGAATGTATAGCACACCTAACGATAAATATGAAAGAGGTTTTATTCTCATTTAAAGAAATATCTTTAGAAATGATTCTTTAAAGAAAAAGTAATAACATACATCGTGGGGTTTATAGCATACGTAAAGTAAAATACAAGACAATTAGCACAAAGGCCAGAAATGTGAAGGGGAGGGAATAACTGGAAGTATACTATTGAAAGATTCTTACACATTACATAAAGAAGTCTAATATTATTTGAAGGTAGACTGTGGTAAGTTGACAACAATGAAATTTAAAAAAACAAAAACAAAAACAAAACCACAGTGCTATAAGCTACTAACCAAATCATGGAGGTAAAATGGAATGCTTAAATATGACAAGAAAACGGGTAAAAAAGGAATAAAGAAGCAAATTGGAAAAAGCAAGAAGGTAAATTTAAAATCAAATTTACTAATATTTCTATTAAATATAAATAATCTAAATACTCCAATTAAAAGACAAAGATTGTCACAGGGTTAAAAAAAGTAAGACTCAACTATGTATCTATCTACATGTAACAATAATATAGACATAAGTTAAAAGAAAAAGAATGGGAAAAGATACAGCATGTAAATACAAATCATAAGAAGGCTGAATTGGCTGTATTAACAAAGTTTCAGGACAAGGAATATTACCAAGGATAAAAAGGGCAGTTTATAATGAAAAAATAGGTCAATTTATCAAGAATAACAATTCTAAATGTGTACTTGCCTAAGAACACAGCTTCAAACTATATGGAACAACCTTCAAAACACTATGCTAAGTGAAAGAAGCTAATCACAAAAGACCACGTTATGTGATTCCATTTATATTAGATGTTAAGAACAGACATATACCTACTGACAGAAAGTAAATTAGTGCTTGCCTAGGGCTGGGAGGATGGAGGATGGAGGATGGAGGATTGGGGAGGTGATGGCTAAAGGCTGTGGTTCCTTTGTGAGGTGATGAAAATGTTCTATCATATGTTCTATCATTTTGGTAGTGGTCACACAACTCTGTGAATATACTAAAAACTATTCAACTGTATGTACACTTTAAATGGGTGAATTGTATGGTATGTGATCATGGCTTGATAAAACTGTCACAAAAGAAAAAATAGAGCAAAAACTAGAAAAACTGACAGGAAAAAGACAAATCCAGTATTAAAGTTGCAAATTAACAAGTAGACAAAAATAAGTAAGACTATAAAAGACGTGAACCACATTCACTATCAACAAAGTTGACTTAATTGTTCTTAATTTATAGATGTGGTGGTGTGTGGCTATAGTCCTAGCTACTCAGGAGGCTGAGGCAAGAGGCTTGCTTCAGCCTAAGAGGTCAAGGCTGCTGTGAGCCATGACAGCACCACTGAACTATATAGGCTGGGCAACAGAGTGAGGCCCTGTCTCTTGCGGGGGAAAAAAAAAAATTTAAATGGTTCTAATAAGCAAAATGGCATATTCCAACTCACATTTCATACCCAAACAATACTCGATTTTGGAAAACAAAAATCTAAGCAAGCAAAATTATTTTTTTTTGGTGGCAGGACAGAGTTTTGCTCTTGTCGCCCAGGCTGAAGTGCAGTGGCACCATCTCGGCTCACTGCACCCTCTGCCTCCTGGGTTCAAGCAATTCTCCTGCCTCAGCCTCCTCAGTAGCTGGGATTACAGGCACGTGCCACCATGCTCGCCTAGTGTGTGTGTGTGTGTGTGTGTGTGTGTGATTACAGGCACGTGCCACCATGCTCGCCTAGTGTGTGTGTGTGTGTGTGTGTGTGTATTTTTAGCAGAGATGGGGTTTCACCACGTTGGTCAGGCTGGTCTTGAACTCCTGACCTCGTGATCTTCCCACCTCAGATGGGGTTTCACCACGTTGGTCAGGCTGGTCTTGAACTCCTGACCTCGTGATCTTCCCACCTCAGCCTCCCAAAGTGCTGGGATTACAGGTGTGAACCACTACGCCTGCCCCAGCTAATTTTCGGTTTTTTTTGGTTTTGTTTTGAGACAGAGTCTTGCTCTATAGCCCAGGCTGGAGTGCAGTGGTGCGAGCTCGGCTCACTGCAAGCTCCGCCTCCTGGGTTCAGGCCACTCTCCTGCCTCAGCCTCCCGAGTAGCTGGGACTACAGGTGCCTGCCACCAAAAAAAAAAAATTTTGTGTTGTTAGTAGAGACAAGGTTTTGTCATGTTGGCCAGGCTGGTCAAAAAAAACTTACCTCAGCTGATCCACCCACCTTGGCCTCCCAAAGTGCTGGGATTACAGGAAAAAAAAACCACGCCCGGCTTAATTTTCGTATGTTTAATAGAGATGAGGTTTCACCATGTTGTCCAGGCTGGTCTCGAACTCCTGACCTTAGGTGATCCACCCACCTTGGCCTCCCAAAGTAAAAAAAATACAGGCGTGAGCCATCACACCCAGCCGCAAAATTACAGTAACTTTGCTTTATAAAAAAAATCCATTTAATAAATGGAAAGTAACAATGTATGAGATGACATCTCAAGTATATTAAAAAAAATTCATTTTTTAATCTGTCAAAATATTCAAAGTGAAACTTGTAAGCAAAGCTGGAAAAAAAAGAATATGGAAAAGCAAATACATAATAAAGAGAAACCAAACCTGAGAAAGGGTACAGAAAAGCAGGAGGAAGAGAAAACAGAACAGTGTGGAATCAGATTGAAATCAGTCTCTGCTGTACCACTTACTAACTATATGACTGTAAAAAAAAATTATTTGACAGCCCTGAGCCTCAGTTTCCTTATATGATAAATATGGAGCAAAACGTAGTTGAGAAAAATTAAATTAAATGACATTTGTAAACAGGCATACAGTATGCACCAGGTAAGCCTTAGTTTTCCTTTTACCTTAATTTTTTTTCACATCTACGTCACTTAGAACATGAGATTAATTATTTCAGTTAACCCAAATGTTTAAACCTAGATTCTGGCAATTTATTTGTTTTTGTTTTTGTTTGAGACAGAGTCTTGCTCTGTCACCCAGGCTGGAGTGCAGTGGCACGATCTCGGCTCACTGCACCCTCAGCCTCCTGAGTTCAAGCGTTTCTCCTGCCTCAGCCTCTCGAGTAGCTGGGACTACAGGCGTGCGCCACCATGCCTGGCTAATTTTTGTATTTTTAGTAGAGACAGGGTTTCACCATATTGGCCAGGCTGGTCTTGATCTCCTGACTTCGTGATCCACCCACCTCAGCCTCCCAAAGTGCTGGGATTACAGGTGTGAGCCACCCTGCCCAGCCAGATTCTAGCAATTTAAAATCTTTAGTACAATTATACAATTAAGATATCCAAATACAGGTAAAAAATGCAACTTTTTTCTCACAGTAAGGAGGAGTGACTAAGATTTTCCAAGAAAAATTGTAGAAGCCAAGAAATTCTTTGATTAAAATAGCAGTAGTTATACATACCACTCTCCACAGTGCACAGCCTTCAGCACTCCAACAGCAGCTGTAGTCTGTCGTTCAAAACCTTGTCCTATATGATCTGCATGAGCTCTTGTCCTGTCTTCAAAGAGCATCTCACGGGGCTCACTTGTTCGAGGTAGGTACTGAAGATTTTTTATTTCATTGGTAGTTCTGTTTTTTTAAAAAAGAAAATTACATTTATATAGTGACACTTAATTGCCATCAAACATTCAATAATCACATAATTCAGACAAAAAGATATTAAATCTGCTCTCAAATCAAATTCTATCTTTAAAATGAACAAGAACAAACAAAAACACACATACAATACCCTCATTTTTCTAATATACCTTCATAAAAGTAACAGTTGTAAGGAAATACACGGATAAAAAATTAAATTACAAATGGTGTTGTTTACCTAAGTTTCCCTATACACAGAATCTTTACCTGGGGCTTTGGTACCATGCCCCCACTCAAATCTCTTGGGTAACACAAGATAGACAGATATATATCTGAAACAAACAGGTAACTTTTAAAAATGCATTAATTCAATATTAATAAGACACATACTATGTGCTAGGTACTATCTAGGAACTGGGGCCAGTGAATGAGACAACAGCAAATAAGACAGAAGAGGACCCTACTCTCGTGGGAGTTTATAGTCTGTCTAGTGAGGGAAGGATCAAAGAAATAGATTTAGCAATAAAACACCCAGCAATAAGTGCTTCCACAAAATATACATGGTTTATTGGAAGTAGAAAGGAAAACCTTAGCTCTGTCTTGGAAGACAGCCATTTCCCACTGGCCCTGTCCTCTACCACTTTCCTTCTAGAATGCATATGCATACAGAAGTTGCTGCCTACTTAGCCTCACTCATTGCTGAAACCTCTCCAATTTTGCTGTAAGCAAGGAAAGGGTAAGAAGAATTTCTCTGGCTGAGATTCATCATTTTATGTATCTTCCTCTATGGTTTTTGTTTCTTCCAGATGCAACTCTGTATTACCCCCATAATTGTCTCCTCTCATTCTTGTCTGTCTTCCCAGGGCTCACTCTTCCTAACTGGTTCTCTACTTTCCCACCCTTAATCTCTATTATTTAACTACTCTGTGTGCACCCCTGCATTACAGTCTTATTACACATACACATAAAATGATTTTTTTTTTTTGGCTCTTCGTGATTAATGTTCTACATGTGTCAGAATGCCAGATGGTGTTGCTTCCTCTGGAAACCTAACAGGTTCTCAAACCCACAAATTTAGTTGCATAAATACCACATTCTAATGAATTAAGACTATATAGCACTTGGCACAATGCCTGACACTGTTTTTGTTAAACTATTATCGCATATACGGTGGCTTGTATACCCTGAGGTGAACGGAAGTTCCTCAAGGTAGTGTTGAACCCCTTTAAATTACATCTAAAAGTTTGTATTTATCTGTATTGTTCTGAGAAAAGACTTTCAGATTCTCAAAATGATCCATACATTAAAAAAAAAAAAAAAAATTAAGAATCACTGAGGGGGCCGGGCACAGTGGCTCACACTTGTAATCCTAGCACTTTGGGAGGCCGAGGCGGGTGGATCACCTGAGGTTAGGAGTTTGAGACCAGCCTGGCCAAAACGACGAAATTCTGTCTCTATTAAAAATACAAAAATGAGCAAGGTATGGTGGTGCACGCCTATAATCCCAGCTACTCAGGAGGCTGAGGCAGGAGAATCACTTGAACCGCGGAGGCAGAGGTTACAGTGAGCTGAGATTATACCACTGCACTCCAGCCTGGGTGACAGAGCTAGACTCCGCCTCAAAAAAGAAAAAAAAAAAAAAAGAATCACTGAGGAACACATCAGTTTTACCATTTACTACTAACTTATAAATTAACCTGTAAAATTTTATTCATCCAATAAATATTAAGCACCAGACAGTGTGTTTAGGTGTTAGAGACACATTAGTAACAAACCCAATAAAGTCCCTGCCATCATGCAACCCAGAGTTTACTCAATGACTTTTTCCCCATTTTCTTTTTAACTTAATAATCACTGTAACCAGTAAAACCACCTTTAGGTATCTAAAGAAAAAACTATAATCAGGACGGGCGCGGTGGCTCACACCTGTGCACTTCGGGAGGCTGAGGCGGGAGGATCATGAGGTCAAGAGATCAAGACCATCCTGGCTAACGTGGTGAAACCCCATCTCTACTAAAAATACAAGAATTAGCTGGGTGTGGTGGCACGTGCCTGTAGTCCCAGCTACTCGGGAGGCTGAGGCAGGAGAATCTCTTGAACCCGGGACGCGGAGGTTGCAGTGAGGCTAGACTGTGCCACTGCACTCTAGCCTGGTGACAGAACAAGACTCAGTCTCAAAAACAAAAAAGGCTATAATCTCTCCTAGCATCATCTCCATCCATTCCAACTGACGTTACCCTAATGTACAAATGTACATTTTCTCCACACTTTTCTCTGTGGTCACATAAATACACAATCACACATAGGAGGATTCTGTTATTTATTTCTTTGGATAAAGACAAAATCATACTAGATACATTACACTACATTTGGCTGTTTTCAAGTGTCATGAATATCCATCTAGATCAAGACATTTTTTAAAACTTTAACTATTTTGCCTTTTTTTTTTTTTTTTTTAAGAGACAGGGTCTGGTTCTGTCACCCAGGCTGGAGTGCAGTGATGTACTCATAACTTACTGCAGCCTCAAACTCTTGGGCTCAAGGAGTCCTTGACTCAGCCTTCCAAGTAGCTAGGGCTACAGACATGTGCCACCACACTGGCTAAATTTTTTTTATTTTTTTATTTTGTAGAGGCAGCATCTCACTATGTTGCTCATGCTGGTCCTGAACTCTTGGGATTCAAGTTATCCTCCCACCTTGGCCTCCCAAAGTGCTAGGATTACATAAAAGAGCCACTGCACCTGGCTTATTTCACTATACTCTCTTTTTCTGAAACACAGTCTCGCTCTATCGGCCAGGCTGGAGTGCAGTGACACGATCTGGGCTCACTGCAACCTTTATCTCCCAGGCTCAAGCAATTCTCCTGCCTCAGCCTCCTGAGTAGCTGGGATTACAGGCATGTCCCACCACGCTGAGATAATTTTTGTATTTTTAGTAGAGACGGGGTTTCCTCATGTTGGCCAGGCTGATCTCGAACTCCTGACCTCAGGCAAGAGGTCAAGAGATCAAGACCATCCTGGCCAACATGGTAAAACCCCTATCCCCCCACCTCAGCCTCCCAAAGTGCTGGGATTACAGGCGTGAGCCACTGCACCTGGCCTCACTATACTCTTTAATAAGAATGTATGAAATCTATTCAACCATTCCCCTGTTGACAGTCATTCGGACCCTTTTAAAACATTTTTCTTACCACAAATTTATTTACCTTTCGTGTTTTTATTTCTTGGGATAGATTCCCAAAAGTAGGAGTGCTAGATCAAAGAGTTTTATGTTAAATTTTATGATCTATTGCTGGATTACTTTCACAAAATTACAGCAGCTCATCCTCCAGTCAACAATATATAAAAAATTGTTTCTTCACATACCTACCAGCCTATAATATTATTGCTATATTAATAATTTTTGCCAATATAATGAATAAAAATATCTCATAGTTCTTTTAAAATAAACTTAACTGCCTGAGGTCTATTTTTCTACTCGGTTGTTTACACTTGAGAATGCTCTTTGGACATTAACTTTAGTCTGTCATGAGTTCCGAATGTTTTAGTCCAGTCTATCATAATTTTGAACTTCATTGTTGATGTCACTTCCCTCCCAAATACTATTGTCACTGCATTGTTTGGTCTTGCTTAGGAAGGTCTCCTCCAGGCTTAAACAATTTTATTCTAATATTTTAACTGTTTTATCTGTGATGCTTAATTCTCTAATTTACTTCTTGTATAAGGTAGGGGCTCTGCCGCCTTTGTTTTTATGAGAGCCAAATATGCCAGCATTATTCATTAAATACATCTTCTTCTTCCCACCTATCTCATATATTAAGTTCCCAATATACTTAGATCTATTTCTGGACTCTTATTCCAATGATCTATTTGAACTTTATAGTAACTTTTAATATCCTGTATCATAAGCTCCCCCTCACTTATCTTCTCTTTCACTGAAAAATTTACTTCCTTATGAATTTTAAAATCATTTTATCCAGGAATGGAAGTGTGAGTCCAATTGAAATGTAAAAAAATTTAAAGAACTATTATTTTTATCCAATCCAGAACACAGTAAAGCTTTCCAATTGTTCTGATCTTATTTTATATCCTCCACAAAATGTTTTAGTCTTTTTAGCACAGGTTCTGAATATTATTAAATTTATTCCAAAATAGTTTATATTTTATGACATTTTTTCCATTCATCATTACAATTTCTTGTCATTTGCCTACATTTCTCATGCCCTATTTACATTTTAGGTTTTATAACAAATTATATTAGCATGTATCACTATTTTTAAATTTATATCCCAATTATGGTCTAACTTTGCCTTCCTTCTTCCTCCAATTTTGAACTAACATACACACCCCAACATACAAACACTCATCTCCTCCAATAAAAATGTGTATACAACATACCTTTTCCTTTTGAAAGGTGACTTTGGCATATCAGCCACAGGGATCATTTGTTCTCCTGGACGAACCCACATGATGGGACCATCATCACTATCTTTTCGACTCTGTAATTTTAGACTAGATAGCGTCCCCCATGGCAGTGTACACTGGAGACAAATAATTATGTAGATTGCGATTATTTTCAAAATGTATCTTCAAGTGTATGTTAATAGTAACATTGTTCCCCTGACAAATACACTTTCATTCACAGCTTTGTACTTAAGCACTTGAAATACATATTGAATATATCCCTATATATTGATATACTTTGCTTCAAAAAATTGTTTCAAACACACCAAGAAAATAATTATGCTTGGATGGTTCTGTCCCCCTACCCTGCTAGAGGTATGATTCACCTCTAGCAGAAAGAAAAGAAAGAAAGAGAAAGAAAAGAAAGAGAAAGGAAAAAAGAGGAAAGAAAGAAAGAAAGAAA